GCTTAGAAAGGAAGTTTGGGTCGGTTCTTGCAAGATCTTTGAGTTCCTGACAAACGAGAAGTCGATTCTGCTTCTGGTCCTCAGACAGGAGCCTTGGTTTCGCATGTGGAGTTCTTCCTTTAGAATCAGCTGACAGGTCCCATAGCCTATCCCAGCAATGTCGCACAAGTCGTTGATGGTACGACGTCGATCTTCGTGAATGGCCTGCCGAATCTTGGTAACATTTTCGGGCGTTGTGCTCGAAGATGGTCGTCCAGAACGCTCGTCATCATCGACAGAGGTTCGGCCATTTTTAAAACGTGAATGCCACACAAAAGTTTGTGCACGACCCATTGCGGACTCCCCAAATGCTTGATTTAGCATTTCATAGGTTTCCGTAGCTAATTCGATGATGCCGGCTGGCACACTGATTCACTATGAATGTAGGCAGCACCTCCTAAAGGCAGAAGCTCGTACTACATCGGGTTCGCCCGCTATTGACACAGTCTTGAAACTTTCCGATCGCACCTCGTACGTATCTTTTCGCTTGGTGTGACTTCATTGTCATTACTTGTTTCCGAGCTCTTTCATCTGAAACTGCGCGCTTTGCCAATAAATATTACATGCACGAAGGCCATGATATGAGCACAATTCAGAAAGACAGGCAGACGCATCCTTTTAATTGCTACTTTTGTTCGTTATTGCTGCCCGATAAATCATGTTATACGTAACGTGATGGACGTCACATGTGTGTCTGCAGTGTGGCTCTGGTACCTGTTCAAAACATCGATTTACGGCCCGAGGAAAAAGAGAGTATATTTTGTGTTCCGCGTACAGTACGCGCTGTACGTTTGTAACTCGCAGTGGCGTATTTTAGCCGATGAATGGGAGACTGTCGCTGATTGGCTGGCAGTTACAAGCTGACAGTTTAAACAAGTGCTCACATGCCGTCATTTCACCGTTTTTTTTTTCTTCCAATTATTTGAATTTTGTCTCTCGACGTTAAGAGTTCAGCTAATTGGGTAAGGGGTAGCAAATTGAAATTATATTGATAATTAAATTAAGAAGAGGTTACATTTTGGGAGCTGCGGAAGGGGATGATGATTACATGTAAGAAGTACCTATGAGATGTGTAACATCGATCAGAAAGAACGAAATATATGTGTGTCAGAATACGTTATTGAAAGAGGCGATTTGAAATACTGAAGCGTGCACAGGATAATATTAAAATGGGTCTTTGAGATATGGGTCTATGTCTTGAAGTAATATATAGATTGAATCTGCTTGAGATAGGGTTTATCGGCGGAGTTTTGTGGTAATGGTGACGGATTTAGGGTTCCATAAGAACACAGTACATCTTGAAGAAGTAAATATCTGTCAAATGCTGGAGGGAGCGTAAACTGAGGGACCAAGTTATGACACTTTATCTCCCAGGGCAAGAAGTGTCCCGTAACTTCGTCGTAAGATGGTGTTATTACAAGTTGTAAGTTCGGACTGCAGATATTATCACACCCCACCTCCACTCCATCATGAAACTTATTCCGTGGTTACCAACTAACAACTATGAACCACTATGAACTCCCCTCGTGACACCATTTACCACTCAGCCTAGACCAGATCTGTGCGTGTGGTGGATAATCTAATAACGGAACAAGGCTTTTGTCACTAAGTATCGAGTCTCATATAACGCGAATAATTCAACCCGGTGTATAAGCACCGGTCCCTGTTTTAAGACACAACCGTAATGTCAGAATTTCGCTCGGCCGTCGCGATAATTAAACTGGAAACCAAATTTAAAATTCCGCCGTGTTATTTATGTTTAAACGGAAAACAAACATAATAAATAATACATATTTTTCTAAGATGCGTTAGTACGAAAGG